GCGACACAAAAACAAAGTATGAGAACGCGGCAGCAAGTAGCGTTTGGGATCAACCCAATAACATCTCACCAATTTTCCAGACTTTCTTGAATTGTGATTTCAGTGCGCGGAATTTGACGCTTTCATCTTTGTTACTGTCATATTATGCGTTTTTATGTTTTTGCATATATGTAAATTGCAAAAATGCATATTAGCAAGAGTGCGTGTTCGCATTTTTTTTCACCCACTTTCAGCTCGAGGACCAGAAAAGCTAGAAGACTGAAACGTTGGGAGTATGTACCCACTCCATGTGCGATCCTCCCATTTTGATATCATCGTCAGCCTACGCCTAGGTGTCGCGTATGGACGTCTTAAAAAAATATGCAAATTTTTTGGCGGGAAAGCGATCTCGGGAACCAAACAAAGTGGAGAGTTGAAACTCTGCAGAGATGTTCTCTGTGCATCCATCTGTGAGCTAAAGATTTCAAATTCGGCCTCCATGTATTCGTGGTACTCACACAAGGGCGTATGGAAGTTTTGGCGGGAAAATTACTAACTGGGGAACCAGAAAAGCTAGAAAGCTGAAATTTTGGGGGAATGTTCCCTGTCCAAGTACAACTTAAATATTTCAAATTCAGCCTTCAACTGTGCTTAGTTCTCACGTATGGGCACTTAAAAGTTTTGGCGGGGAAATGACTCACTGAACAGTTAGGTTACTTCAAAGAACGGTTGTTAAATGGAAATTGTTCATTTACTTTATGCAAAATTTATGGTAATTTACATTAGTCAGCGCAAAAAGTAAGTGTAAAGCAACAGCCATTTATGCAGTTAATAACCTGAGTACTCTTAGTCTTGTGCAAAAACGCATGATCGCACCGACAAGCCTAGTGCGTTCCAACCTGGGTTACATTATTTGCACACATGCAAAAACGCATTTTGTGACGACCCATGGTGTATATGTATGTGCATATGTGTGTGCGTCTGTCCTGATATTTCAACTCGGTAACCAAGCAATTTTTGGCGCTGAAATTTTGCCGGTGGGCTTCCTGGCCAAGTGTCATTCTAGGATCGCGGTGTTAACCCTCGCACACGTCTGAGCCCCGCGTACGAGCCTAGAAGTTTTGTTGGGGAAATTGCTAACTTGGGAACCAGAAAAGCTGGAAAGCTGAAATTTTAGCGAAATGTTACCATCCCGAGTGCTACATAAAGGCTTCCGTGGTTCTCGCGTATGAGTATTTTAAAATTTTAACAACAAAACTGCTCACTTCATTTTCAAAGAACGGCTACCCAACGGGAATTGTTCAGTTTCCTTTATGCAAGATTTACGATGATTTATAGCAGTGAGCGCACAAGGTAAGTGTAAAGCAAGAATCATTCATATAGTTAACAACCTGTCTGCTTCAAATTTAGTGAAAAAAACTCGTGATCGCACGTGCAACATGGTGCGTTCCAGCCTAGAGTTATTTATTGTTTTTCAAGCCGTTGTTGTTTGCTATGACGGAAACAGCAAAGGGCATCTCGAGCACGGTGCTTAAGGACATATACTAGTTGTATTGCATAATGGATAGGCGTGACGCCACTCATTTCCTTGATTGATTCCGGAAGGATCGATTATCGTCTCGTCAGCACCACTGCTTGGTGTTCCCTCAGCATGTGCAGGTGTATACTCGACTAGCTCCACTTTCTTTTCTACAGACATGTTGCACTGTGCTTGAATGAGTGTTCCTGAACTGGCCATAAGTGTTTGTACGTTTTTACGAGTACCAGTAAAGGCTGGCATTGCCCGAGGTTTCTCAGGTATCGCAGTGAAAAACTCTGCTAGAGAGAACTGCGCGAATTTTTTACCTCAGATACGTTTTGTTAAGATTATTACCGGTATTATTATTCTTGTTACCACTATTTTTTCTGTTTTGTTATTATTATTACTATTACTATCATCATTGTTACCATTATTATTACTGTTATTATTACCGTTGTTATTATTACTTTTATTATTGTTACTATTATTATTATTACTATCATTGTTTACCATTATTATTACTATCACTACTACTGTTATCACCATTATTATTTACTATCATCATTACTATTGTTATTTTTACTATCACTGTTACTGTTATTTTTTCTGTTATTACTATTATTACTATCACCATTACTATTATTGTTACCGTTGTTATTATTTTTATTATTATTTATTTCTCAGAGTTGTATTCATGAAGGAGTTGCTGTCGAGCCTTTGTCCAAAATCCGATTAGGATTCCAGGACTTACTAGGCAGTACCCCTCTCCCGGACCGTGCTTCTCAGGTATCGATTAGGGCTTAGAAATTCCAATTTGGCTAGGAGAAAAATGCCTCTCTCTGATTCTGTAACCCAGATTCTGATTTGGATTTCGAGATCACAAATTTCGCTAGGCGATACCCTCCTCTTTGCTGCGACCGTAGGTTCCAAATTCTGGCTAGTATTTGAAGAATTTTGTGTCTGACTGCACAGTCATATTCTGAATATAACTTCAAAATTTCCATTCTCGCTCGAGTTCGGGGTCCGTTGCCTCAAATTCAAGCCCGATTTCCAGTTTCTCCAGACAGTTCTCCTCCCTTCAGTGGTGTGTCCCAAATTCTTATTCGGGCTGTAGGATTACCAGTTCCAGTACGCAAACTGCTTTTCCTCCAAC